ATGATTTATGAATGTAAAATGCGGCCTCCCCAATCCTCGACAGGAAGAAAAAACGTTACGCTGGTAATATGGGTCTAGAAACAAGCCGTTTTAGCTGTAGTAATGATGCAAGCATGACACTAACAAATTATTTTTCTCGCACTGGTGCTCCCAAATTAAAACTGCAGGTCGCAAAGCTAAATATTTTGTTGCATATGCAACCAAATTGCTGGCACTTTAGAGCCCTGAACACTTAAGTTGCCCTATAGAGTACCACAGTAGGAGTCATAAAACCCATAAAACCTAGCGATCAAACAAGAAAATGGTTCCTATAATTTTTCCACCATACATCTATCCCATAGGGGATTTTAGAAAAACTTAAAATAAGGGCTGGGTTTTGTGTAGGCTTACTGTAGTGTAACGTTTTGATAACCGTGTAAATCTCTCTAGGACAAGGTGACTTTGATCAATATATTCACCTGTATTTACCCCCCAAAAACGAAATGCTAATTAGCTGCTAATGTGGCTATCATAAAGAACTACAAATGCCATGATGATCTGGACGACACTGCCGGATCAAGGCAAAGGTAAGTATCTCTGGATTAACTATCTAATGTTAGCTACATTTAGTAATGAATAAATTGGATACATTTCTTTAAACTGACAATTCTTTGAACTGTCATGCGAAAGTTTTAAATTGACACAATACCTGTTAGCAAAGGTGTCAGCTAGAGATGATGTGCAGGAGCTTACAGGGATTTGTAGTCTTGCATGATTTCGACATTGATACTAATTAGCATTTTAGAATCTGAGAGTAAATAGAGCCGAATATATTGATAAAAGTCACCTTGTCCGAGAGAGATTTACATGGTTATCAAAACGTCACGCCAGGGTAAGCCTACATGAAACACATGCCTTATTTTAAGTGTTTCTATAATTCCCTATGGGAAAAATGAATGGTGGAAAAACGATTGGAACGATTTCCCTGTTTGACTGCTAGGTTTTATGGGTATTATGACACCTCCACTGTGGGTCTCTATACCTGTAACTACATAGTTATAAGAGCAACTTAAGGTAAAGTGTTACCAACTTGTGTTATCTTTCACTCTATATGAATGGCTGGAGTACAACGTCACAACAATAACAACTAATTATGCAATTCTTCGAACAGTTTACCAATTTTTGACACTATACACAGGCAGGACAGGGCAGTTGGGATGGCGGTGGGTACAGGAGATAAGAGATATTGTGAGGACAACACTGACACAGGTGGGCTGCCTTCCTTGGTCCCCGTCCCCAGTCCATGTTCCCTCTCCTCTGGAAGACTACTTGGCAACCATAGGGAAACAATCGAGGAGGGCAGAGCTGAGGGTAGCTACTACAGATAATTGTCTCCTACTACTTTATACTGTATGTATCCACAGGTTAAAGGACAATGACACAGATTAACCAGCCTCATTAACTACTTCCTACTATCCTACTTTGCATTGTTTAGTAGGTAGGTGCTTCCAGTGTTGGAACTTGGAACACAGACACACATTCTACAAAATAATACACAGTGGGCTACATCATGTCAGATACCATACATTCTCTGAGTTAATACGAATGTAATGGTAATAAGCAAGTTTTATACTTTGCTTTGCTAAGTCTCTTAGTTTTCAAGCACTTTAACTGAGCCTGGGTGAATTATGCCTGGACTCAGATCCGTTTGTGCTCTTTCTTGCCAAATCCTATGGTTGTTGAGTTGGCAATACAGCACACACACAGATCTGGGACCAGGTTATACACAAGCTACAGATGACTGGACAATGACCTTGTCTTGTCAACTCCACAGGAACATTTCCATTCTAGAAGGTGCAGTGCTTCTAGCCTGGTTCCAGATTTGTTTGTCCCGTTTTGCCTACTCCATGACAATGGCAGCAAGGAAGTTGGCAAGACAGCACAAACAGATCTAGGATCAGTGCTTCACAGGAAAGGAAGACATACTGTACTGTACCAATAGCTCATCCTATTGCATTCACTCTCCATATATAGATAAAGAAAATAAATACACTGTAGGACTTTGCAAACCATATCATTTATACATACAATTATTCCTCATTAATAAAAAGCTAAAAACGGTAAACAGTGCCTTCGAAAGTATTCAGACCCCTTTACTTTTTTCCACATTTTATAACGTTACAGCCTTATTCTAAAATGAATTAAATCATTTTTTCCCCTCATCAATCTACACACAATACCCCACAATGACAAAGCAAAAACAGGTAAATAAAAAATTGCAAATGTATTGCAAATAAAAACAAATATCACATTTACATAAGTATTCAGACCCTTTACTCAGTACTTTGTTGAAGCACTTTTGGCAGCGATTACAGCCTCAAGTCTTCTTGGGTATGACGCTACCAGCTTGGCACACCTGCATTTGGGGAGCTTCTCCCATTCTTCTCTGCAGATCCTCTCAAGCTCTGTCAGGTTGGATGGGGAGCGTTACTGCACAGCTATTTTCAGGTCTCTCCAGAGATGTTAGATCGGGTTCAAGTCCGGGCTCTGGCTGGGCCACTCAAGGACATTCAGAGACTTGTCCCGAAGCCACTCCTGTGTTGTCTTGGCTGTGTGCTTAGGGTCATTGTCCTGTTGGAAGGTGAACCTTCACCCCAGTCTGAGGTCCTGAGCGCTCTGGAGCAGATTTTCATCAAGGATCTCTCTATACTTTGCTCCGTTCATCTTTCCCACGATCCTGACTAGTCTCCCAGTCCCTGGCGCTGAAAAACATCCACACAGCATGATGCTGCCACCACCATGCTTCAACATAGGAATGGTACCAGGTTTCCTCCAGATGTGACGCTTGGCATTTCAGCGAAAGAGTTCCATCTTGGTTTCATCAGACCAGAGAATCTTGTTTTTCATGGTCTGAGAGTCCTTTAGGTGCCTTTTGACAAACTCCAAGTGGGCTGTCATGTGCCTTTTACTGAGGAGTGGCTACCGTCTGGCCACTCTCCCATAAAGGCCTGATTGGTGGAGTGCTGCAGAGATGGTTGTCCTTCTGGAAGGTTCTCCCATCTCCACAGAGTAACTCTGGAGCTCTGTCAGAGTGACCATTGGGTTCTTGGTCACCTCTCTGACCAAGGCCCTTCTCCCCCGATTGGTCAGTTTGGCCGCGCGGCCAGCTCTAGGAAGAGTCTTGGTGGTTCCAAACTTCTTCCATTTAAGAGTAATGGAAGCCACTGTGTTCTTGGGGACTTTCAATGCTGCAGAAATGTTTTGGTACCCTTCCCCAGATCTGTGCCTCGACACAATCCTGTCTCAGAGCTCTACGAACAATTCCTTTGACCTCATGGCTTGGTTTTTGCTCTGACATGCACTGTCAACTATGGGACCTTATATAGAAATCATGTCCAATCAATTGAATTTACCACAATTGGACTCCAATCAAGTTGTAGAAACATCAAGGATGATTAATGGAAACAGGATGCACCTGAGCTCAATTTCGAGTCTCATAGCAAAGGGTGTGAATACTTATGTAATATAATAAAATAATATGCCATTTAGCAGACGCTTTTATCCAAAGCGACTTACAGTCATGCGTGCATACATTTAATTTATTTTGTGTATGTAAATAAAGTATTTCTTTTTTTCCGTTGCAAACATTTCTAAAAACCTGTTTCACTTTGTCATTATGGGGTAGTGTGTGTAGATTGATGAGGATGTTTGTGTTTATTTTATCCATTTTAGAATAAGGCTGTAACGTAACAAAATGTGGAAAAAGTCAAGGGGGCTGAATACTTTCCTTATGCACTGTATTTTCAAACATTTATTTTTGATTAAATTACCTACAAATAAGCAAAAAGACATGGGCATATCAAACACCTTTTTACAACCTTCATCGATGCAAGTTTGGATATGGACGGATGATGAGAAAAGACAGTTTAATGCTGCATTGTTTCAAATGTCTATAGTGCAGTGCTCCTATCCTCCTTCTTCACAGGAGCAGATAGATCGGTTGACAGTAATACTGTTCTGTATTTACATTTTAGTCATTTAGCAGACGCTCTTACCCAGAGCAACTTACAGGAGCAATTCGTGTTAAGTGCCTTGCTCAAGGGCACATCAACAGATTTCTTCACCTTGTCGGCTCTGGGATTCAAACCAGCAGCCTTTCAGTTACTGGCCCAACGCGCTAACCGCTAGGCTACCTGCCACCCTGGTATAAACCACTCCTTCCCTTTTCTAAAATAGTCAGCATTTGAACAAGAATTCTTCTTAAGAAAGATTATCCCTCCTTTGTTACAGTAATAACACAGAGAGATTATTCTGATATGTTGGGAGTTTTTTTTCCTCACACACTTTCAGAAACAGTGGATAAACTGAGGAATGTGGTTTGAAAACAGTGATTCAGTCAAAAGGCTTAACATGGGAGAGCACGCTGCCTAGCCATCCATCGCTTTATAGGGCACCAGAGTTCTCTCCCAATAGGGGCTAAGGGCCATCTCCTTCCACTTCCTTACCCTCTACATCAACCACAATCTATCACAGTGGCATGCCCGTTCTCCGGAGTAAGGGTATCCTCCATACTCTTATGGTCTACGGACCATCTCAGCCACACACTCCATAGGGAGATCAACAGTATCCACCACATACTTTCCCTGTCAATCGACCACAAGCTATCACAGTGTGGCTCTTCCCCAATTCATATTTTACTCAATTTCTCTAAGGGTATCCTATCCTCCATACTGGTGTGGCCAGGAGTTGAAACAGCAGTGGGTAGGAAAACTAGTGAGTAGGGGCAGGTAACCAATCACCTGGCTGGACCAGCTCCACTCCTATTGCATTCTTGGACCTTGGCTCCGCCTTTTGGTGTCCCTCTGTGCAATCTCTTCCTGCTTCAGTCACATGACCATCCTGCTCTTGTACGCTCTATCCGGGAAGAAGTGACCCTTCGGCACAGATCTAGGATCAGTTTACCCTCCTCGAACCTTAATGCATTGGAGGAGAACATAGTAAACCTGACCTTAAATCAGTGTCTTGGGGTGACCTCCACCCCTCCCTAGGAGACACAGCAGCAGCTGTGCCCCTTTAGTTCCTCATCATCGATTGGCTGTTTCAGTTTGAGGATGGGTGGGTCCCCGCTGGCTGGGGTGTAGTAAACTGCGCTGCCATTGGACGAGACCAGCGGCATGCGGGAGTCCACAGGGCTCTGGGGCTCTGCGGTTTCAGTGGAGCCGTTTCCAAGGTGACTGTTGAAGAGCGGGTGGTTGAGCATCTTGGCGGCCGACCTCTGCTTTTTCAGTTCTGACAGTGTCTGAGCACGCTCCCTGGGCAAGGAGGAAGAGTCCTCGGGCAGCTGAATAGATGTCACACTCTTCGTGTCAGGGGATGGAGCCTCGCCATTGGTGGGCGGCGACTGACTGGGAGCGGGCGTGGACGTCGTCGTGGAGATGATGCCGTTTTGTTTGATGATGCCGCTAGGATCTTTAAGGATTTTCTGGAGCTTGGGCCTCTCCGCTACTGGCTTCACCGGAATCACCTTGGAGACAGAGGACATTAAGATTACTGTTACTAACTACTGTTACTCAATACTGTTACCAACTACTGCTATCAATTACTGTAACAAACCTTTACTATGATTTCCTTCACAAACTAAATCGATGGCTACAGGCTGGTCGTTATTTCCTTTGTTAAATGATAAGCTGCATGGTCTTGTTTACACACACAGATATGATTTGCATTTCGTGATAGATGTAAGATAGGAGAAACTTTCATCCAGACTAACCATAGTAACAGTCATATTGATCAGATGGCTGTTCTCCTGGTCGGTCTCCTTCTCTTTCTCCTGCTCCTCCCTCCCTCCTTCCCTCCCACCTCTCCACACGATGGCCTCTGTCTCGTATTCCTTCACACGAAGGTTGTGTCTGTCAGACAGGCTGGCCCGCCGTACCACTTTCCTACACAGAGAGGAGGAGAGGGGTCCAGGGAGTAGTTCAGTGGTCATGGTTTCTTTGTCCTAGTCCTGGCACATTTTAGTTTTATCCCAGGCTAGTAACTGGGATTCCCAGCACTAACACACCTGATTTGGCTAATAAGAAAATGCAGCTATTATTTAATTAGGTGAATTATGTGTTAGGCTGTAACAAAAGCAGCCCATCCCTTGTGTTGTGGCTCGCCATTGAACAGCACTACTGCAGAAGAAAATAGAGAGAAAAAACAACTAGTGTGCAGTTTCCTCTCTGTCCAGCAGAGGTCAGTACGTACCCACGGCTGCCTGCGCTGGACGTCCTCCTACACAGGGAGGTCTTGTGTTTGAGCTGAGACTTCATGATAATGTCGTGTTTGTGTTTCAGGTCCAACAGGATGGCACGGAACTCCTCGTCCTCACACAGGTCTACAGGTCACAGAAAGGTCAGAGGTTAGAGCTCACACAGAAATCCAAAACAACAATCCACATCAACTACTTCTCTGGGGTGGCCCCGTGGGTTTCTATGGGGTTTTAGACCCTAGTACAGTAATCATGTATACAGCATAGCATCACCTTTTTAATGATAAACAGCAGGTTGGGGCAGACCATAGAGATAGAACAACAGAAAGGTCATAATGTTCTCTAAAGTTTTGATCTCTACAGTCGTGGTCAAATGTTTTGAGAATTACATTTACATTTTACATTTTAGTCATTTAGCAGACGCTCTTATCCAGAGCGACTTACAGTTAGTGAATACATTTTATTTTATTTTTTTATACTGGCCCCCCGTGGGAATCGAACCCGCAACCCTGGCGTTGCAAACGCCATGCTCTATCAACTGAGCTACATTCCTGCCGGCCATTCCCTCCCCTACCCTGGACGACGCTGGGCCAATTGTGCGCCGCCCATGAGTCTCCTGGTCGCGGCCGGCTGCGACAGAGCCTGGATTCGAACCAGGATCTCTAGTGACACAGTTAGCACTGCGATGCAGTGCCTTAGACCACTGCGCCACTCAGGAGTTATGACACAAATATACATTTTCACAAAGTCTGCGGCCTCAGTTTTTATGATGGCAATTTGCATATACTCCAGAATGTTATGAAGAGTGATCAGATGACTTGCAATTATTTGCAAAGTCCCTCTTTGCCATGAAAACTTTATCCCAAAAAAACATTTCCACTGCATTTCAGCCCTGCCACAAAAGGGCCAGCTGACATCATGTCAGTGATTCTCTCATTAACAGAGGTGAGAGTGTTGACGAGAACAAGGCAAGAGATCACTCTGTCATGCTGATTGAGTTAGAATAACAGACTGGAAGCTTTAAAAGGAGGGTGGTGCTTGACAAAGACATTGCTGCTAGTAAGATTGCACCTAAATCAACCATTTATCGGATCATCAAGAACTTCAAGGAGAGAGGTTAAATTGTTGTGAAGAAAGATTCAGGGCGCCCAAGAAAGTCCAGCAAGCGCCAGGACCGTCTCCTAAAGTTGATTCAGCTGCGGGATCGGGGCACCACCAATGCAGAGTTTGCTCAGGAATGCAGCAGGCAGGTGTGAGTGCATCTGCACGCACAGTGAGGCAAAGACTTTTGGAGGATGGCCTGGTGTCAAGAAGGGCAGCGAGGAAGCCAGTTCTCTCCAGGAAAAACATCAGGGACAGACTGATATTCTGCAAAAGGTACAGGGATTGGACTGCTGAGGACTGGGGTAAAGTCATTTTCTCTGATGAATCCCCTTTCCGATTGTTTGGGGCATCCGGAAAAAAGCTTGTCCGGAGAAGACAAGGTGAGCGCTACCATCAGTCCTGTGTCATGCCAACAGTAAAGCATCCTGAGACCATTCATCTGTGGGGTTGCTTCTCAGCCAAGGGAGTGGGCTCACTCACAATTTTGCCTAAGAACACAGCCATGAATAAAGAATGGTACCAACACATCCTCCGAGAGCAACTTCTCCCAACCATCCAAGAACAGCTTGGTGACGAACAATGCCTTTTCCAGCATGATGGAGCACCTTGCCATAAGGCAAAGGTGATAACTAAGTGGCTCGGGGAACAAAAAATCAAAATTTTGGCTCCATGGCCAGGAAACTCCCCAGACTTTAATCCCATTGAGAACTTGTGGTCAATCCTCAAGAGGCGGGTGGGTGGACAAACAAAAACCCACAAATTCTGACAAACTCCAAGCATTGATTATGCAAGAATGGGCTGCCACCAGTCAGGATGTGGCCCAGAAGATAATTGACAGCATGCCAGGGCGGATTGCAGAGGTTTTGAAAAAGATGGGTCAACACTGCAAATATTGACTCTTTGCATAAACTTAATGTAATTGTCAATAAAAGCCTTTGACACTTATGGAATGCTTGTAATTATACTTCAGTATACCATAGTAACATCTGAGAAAAATATCTAAAAACACTGAAGCAGAAAACTTTGTGAAGACCAATACCTGTGTCATTCTCAAAACTTTTGACCACGACTGTATAGGGCCGACTTACCAATGGGTGTCTCCTCTAGGTACGTCTTGGCATTGAGACTGGCACCGTGAGAAACCAACAGTTCTGCTACATGCATCTGAAACAATGGAGAGTATCTATGAGTATTTACATGGCTATCCGCAATCATGTTCAGAGAGTGTGTGTATGTGTTTGTGTTCGTTTGTATGCATCTGTGTGTCTGTGTTTGCCCTTTGCCTGAGTCCGTGTGTGCCCGTATATGTTTCTGTGCACCCCTTGTGTTTCTGTGCACCCCTGTGTGTGTTACCTCACCTGACCCCAGCAGGCTGCAGCGTGGAGCGGCTGCCATCCGTCAGTGTCTCTCTGGTCCATCCTGGCCCCTCCCTCCAGCAGCAGCTCTGCAGCCTGGACGTAGCCGTTAGCTGCTGCAATGTGGAGCTGCATGGGGGACAGGAGAGAAGATAGATGGAATATAGTCAGTTTGGAGTGTTAGCTACTTCAACAAATATTTGTATTTGAAAAGATTCCCTACCTGCTATTTTGATATACAGTATCTAATGCCCTCTTGGGATCCTTTTGTGTCACTCTTTCTGTCCTTTCTCAAATATATTAACCATAGATAGACTGGAACCAAAGTTGGACGCTAACTCTGGTGCTAGGGCTGTAACGGTGACCGTATTACCGCCACACCGGCAGTCACGAGTCATGACGGCAGTCAAACTCCACATGACCGTTTAGTCATGGTAATTAGGCTTCTCCAAGCTCTGATGCTGCTGATGGTCATTAGTAGCCTACCAAACTTGCTAACTGCCTGGTACTCAGCACTCTATTGTCCCTCTAATCACTCTTGTCCCTCTAATCACTCTGACATCAATGCAAATGTAATCGAAAATCTAATCAAACACTTCATGAGTAACCATGAGCTCATGTTGCGTAACATTTCTATAGGCTATGCAATTGCTTGAGAAAACAGAGTTTTAATGGCCTCTATTAAAAAGAGGAGGATCACATCAGCTTTCTATAGGCTAGGCCTACTATATATATTTATGAACTTTCCGAATATTAAGCACGTTGCTTCGCTTTACAACAGGAGTTGTACCTGGCTGGCATGAAAATGAACCATTGGAAAAGCGTCCTCCATTCACTGTTTACAGTGCATTCTAAACTTATTCAGACCCCTTGACTTTTTCCACATTTAGTTACGTTACAGCCTTATTCTAAAAAGTGTTAAGTGAAAACAGGTTTTTAGAAGTGTTTGCATAAGTATTCAGATCCTTTGTTATGAGACTCAAAATTGAGCTCAGGTAAGTCCTGTTTCCATTGATCATCCTTGAGATGTTTCTATAACTTGATTGGAGTCCACCTGTGGTAAATTCAATTGATTGAACATTATTTGGAAAGGAACACACGTGTCTATATACAGTGCATTTTGTTGAAGCACCTTTGGCAGCGATCACAGCCTCAAGTCTTCTTGGGTATGACGCTACAAGCTTGGCACACCTGTATTTGTGGAGTTTCTCCCATTTTCTCTGCAGATCCTCTCAAGCTCTGTCAGGTTGGATGGGAGCGTCGCTGCACAGCTATTTTCAGGTCTCTCCAGAGATGCTAGATCGGGTTCAAGTCCGGGCTCTGGCTGGGCCACTCAAGGACATTCAGAGACTTGTCCCGAAGCCACTCCTGTGTTGTCTTGGCTGTGTGCTTACCGGGCCCCCCGTGTAGCTCAGTTGGTAGAGCATGACGTTTGCAACGCCAGGGTTGTGGGTTCGATTCCCACGGGGGGCCAGTATGAAAATGTATGCACTCACTAACTGTAAGTCGCTCTGGATAAGAGCGTCTGCTAAATGACTAAAATGTAAAATGTCGTGGTCCTGTTGGAAGGTGAACCTTCGACCCAGTCTGAGGTCCTGAGCGGTCTGGAGCAGGTTTTTATCAAGGATCTCTCAGGACTTTGCTCCGTTCATCTTTCCCTCATTCCTGACTAGTCTCCCAGTCCCTACCACTGAAAAACATCCCCACAGCATTATGCTGCCACCACCATGCTTCACCGTAGGGATGGTGCCAGGTTTCCTCCAGACGTGATGCTTAGGATTCAGGCCAAAGAGTTCAATCTTTGTTTATTCAGAGCAGAGAATCTCGTTTCTTATGGTCTGAAAGTCCTTTAGGTGCATTTTGGCAAACTCCAAATAGGCTGCCATGTGCCTTTTACTGAGGAGTGGCTTCCGTCTGGCCACTCTACCATAAAGGCCTGATTGGTGGAGTGCTGCAGAGATGGTTGTCCTTCTGGAAGGTTCTCCCATCTCCACAGAGGAACTCTGGAGCTCTGTCATAGTGACCATCGGGTTCCTGGTCACCTCCGCTTAGATTGGCCGGGCGGCCAGCTCTAGGAAGAGTCTTTGTGGTTCCAAACTTCTTCCATTTAAGAATGATGGAGGCCACTGTGCTCTTGGGGACCTTCAATGCTGCAAAAAAAATTGGTACCCTTCCCCAGATCTGTGCCTCGACACAATCCTGTCTCGGAACTCTACGGACAATTCCTTCGACCTCATGGCTTGGTTTTTGCTCTGACATACACTGTCAACTGTGGGACCTTATATAGACAGGTGTGTGCCTTTCCAAATCATGTCCAATAAATTGATTTATCACAGGTGGACTCCAGTCAAGTTGTAGAAACATCTCAAGGATGATCAATGGAAACAGGATGCACCTGAGCTCAATTTCGAGTCTCATAGCAAAGGGTCTGAATACTTATGTAAATAAGGTATTTCTGTTTGTTATTTTTCATAACTGTGCAAAAATTTCTAAAAAAACTGTTTCCGCTTTGTCATTAAGGGGTTGTGTGTCGATTGATGAGGGGAAAAAATAATTTAATCCATTTAAGAATAAGGCTGTAACGTAACAAAATGTGGAAAAAGTAAAGGGGTCTGAATACTTTCCGAATGCACTGTATTATTTAGTATATGTAAAGACATTAAATTAAGAATGGTCTGATGGGTGACAATATTAGCCTATCACTTGTGAATAATGTATTATCACTTGTGAATGATGCCCAGCTTGTGCAGTAAGGCATGAAACAGCGCATACCTTTTTTTTTGTTGACTTTTCACACACACACCTCATGTATCCTAGCCCATAGGCCTATATGTTTTGATAAGGTTTGTATGGCCAAATAACTTCTTAAAATTAAGCACATTCATGCTTTTTACAACCGGTGTAGAGCCTAACTGGCATACATCGGCTGCGCGGGGATTTCACGTTTGGGGGAGATCATTTTCACCATAAAAATGCACCTTTATAATAAAGCATTACATGCATAATCACATTTGCCGTCACTTTCGAGAACAGTGTTTTCCCGTTAATTGATTGCATTTTGGAACATTTGCGCCGTGTGCACATTGCTGCGCTTATAATGTGAAAAAATTGCCTAATAGTTTATCAACATTTTAAGCTAAACGTTCAGCATCACTGCTTCTTAAACTTGTTTTGATGCAAGTGGTTGTATTAATATCGCATCCCACAACTGTCCCAGAGTATGTTTGGAATATTTATTTAATGCACAGATGGATAAGTTGACCAATAGAATAGGTCCATTTTTGTACTATGGGGGATAGTAGACTGACATAAGCTAGTGCTTTTGCTGTTGGCCTACTTATCTCGTTGGCTGACGAAAAGTAGGCTAAATGTGGACAGTTCTAACATCTAACAATATGTGCCTTGGAGTTTGATAAGAGGGACACGAGCAGTTGCGTCCCCGATGTGTTGGTCTTCATTCACTTGTAGCCTACTTCTTAGCTGAAATGCCTGTGAGAAGGAACCGATCGCGTGACGGGCATTGGCTACATCTGAGAGAGCCATGTGAGTGAGAGGTGCTTCGGAGCACTGCAGCCGGGAGAAGGGAATTATAATTAGCCTATTATATTCAGCCCAAGGGCACAACGGCCACTTTGGCCGCAAAAGGCATCGATTTTTTAGGGTGCATTACGGCTACACAAGGGGGATGCCGCCAGGAAATTCGAGGCCTGGTGAGAATATTATCAAGTGCTTGTCAAATCGTGAACGAGAGACTGATGAAGTCTGTTGAGCTTGCGACTTTTTTCAAATCACCATTAGAGTCCCATCATGCAGCCTTAGAATTAAACATCTAAACATATAGCCTAACGTTTGTATCACAACAAAAGTTGCATAAATAACTCTAAATTAAACATATAGGAGGACCAGTTTCTTTGTCAAACAATCAACACAGAATAGCCGCATGTGCGCACTTCCTTTGAAATCGTTTGGAAAAAATATACTTTCTATTTTATTAAGCTATGTTCAATTGTCATCTTCATACTATAAAATAAAATAAACATTTTCTAAACAAATCTTGTCTGCTAAATGAACTAGTGTAGCCCACAGCCATATGGCATAGCCAGATCAGGGCCTAACATAAGGACAACTCAGAGTATGTTATTCTGTTATTCTGAAATAGACTACATTTTCTTCATATCATGTTTCTTTAGACCTGTCTAAAATAAATAATGGATTTATTGTGATGGTGTAGGCTATATTAAAATGATTTTTTAGACTTTTTTAATGTAGATGTTCCAAAGGTCTGCATCAGTGGCTTGGAGGCTATGCGTGGAAGCCAGGAGATGCTAAACGTGTTTATGCTAATTAACGGTCAATTACCGTGAGTCCGTGTGTTATTTGCTTGACAATCACCGGCTGACAGAATTTCATAACCGCCACAGCCCTATCTGGTGCTAAACGTATGTTGATTTATTTTAACTTAAACCTTGAGTAAACTCATCTTCTCATCTTTATTGCCCTTGTCTCAGGGCCAAGAGAAAAGCCTTACAGGAATCTGAATCAGAACAAGATGAAGTTGTCTCCTGAATAAATATTTAATAATAAAATAAATGAGTTACAGTAAAATAATGTGATTAATATATTTAAAACAGCTCAATTATTGCAGTCCTGGATGGAATGACGGACTGCCTTGTTAAATGACTGGTTCAGTTCAGCTGAGGAATGAGGATGGAGAATGAGCCTTAAAGTAACTGTCCAGTGTTTCTAGATTTCTATTAAATATGACCTATATATTAATTACAAAATTAGTGAAATAGTTTTCCTTAAAAAAAAAAGAAGGTAAATACAGTGGGGAGAACAAGTATTTGATACACTGCCGATTTTGCAGGTTTTCCTACTTACAAAGCATGTAGAGGTCTGTAATTTCTATCATAGGTACACTTCAACTGTGAGAGACAGAATCTAAAACAAAAATCCAGAAAATCACATTGTATGATTTTTAAGTAATTCATTTGCATTTTATTGCATGACATAAGTATTTGATCACCTACCAACCAGTAAGAATTCCGGCTCTCACAGACCTGTTAGTTGGTATAGAAACCTTTGTTTGCAATTACAGAGATCATACGTTTCCTGTAGGTCTTGACCAG